CCTCGTTACTAGAAAGCTGGATGGGAGGACACAGGCAACGAAATTACCAAATGACAACTTTGGTCTCTTCACGTTGTCCTGAAGACTTTTTTCCCCCCTCACTTGAGCTATGAGATGGCAGGTGATTTAAATGAACACCTTAGCAATGTTTTGGGTTTGATGGAGAGTGTGTTGCCAAAACTTGCCACTTCCTTCATATTTCTGTTGCTATTTATGTGCTGGTTTGAAATGACAGGGTGCAGGCATGGGGGAAGGACTCGGGGAAAATTGTGCCAAGTCGCTTGCTGTTAGTCATCTGTTTTGATGCTAGTTGAAATGTCTGCTTCCTCACCTAGTCTTTTAGGTAATGTTTTGGGGTTGCTGTTAGACACCAGCTTCTCAGATTGTGACTTTAGTCATTGTCACTCTTGTAAAAACATTTGCAGCTGATTGCTCAATATTTTCCTTTGGGGTAGGTTTGTTAAATGACAGGTTTCTTGGAAGTCTGTTGATCTAAATAGAAGGAGACATTTCCCTTTCTGTGCTGAATTTCTGTAGCTGGAAAAAATAGCGCCAGTTTGAAACACTGTGCAGCTCCTTTGAAGTTTTGCATAGCAGGTCTGAGGTTCCAGGTATTGGTACTTTGGCATCAGGGTTTGGTGGCTTAGTGCTGCAAGAGCCATCAGCCAGATACAAAAACCCACCCAGTGCCTCTGGCTCTCAGTTACTCACTGGAAAATAGACAAGTGTTTTTTATGGATGAGTGATTTGGTTCTGAAGTCTAATTGAAAGTCAGAGCTTGTTTTTATTGCTGTGTGGTGGAAACTCGTTTTCTCAGTATAGGGTCCAGCATTCATTTGCAAGGCTTGTGAGAAGTAGAATGCTATGGGGAAAGTTACGGTGCCTTTTCCGCTCTGTCCTTTGGTGGTAACACAAAGTGATTAATCTGTCCTCCTTTCTTGAGGTCTGTGTTGGAAGCTGGGGGATTTCCTACCCTATCACATCCCTCTTGAAGTTATGGCTTTGTTCTGGCCACAGTCTCTCTATTTCATGGATACAACTCCAGCTCCTTAAGCAAGTTTCCATTCTGTGTCTCCACCCGCTTAAACTTCAAACACTTCATAAAGCTTTGGATCACTCTTAGCTTAAATATTTTCTTTTATTCTTGCATTTGTAAAGTAGGTCAGTCTTAAGTGTGACATTTTTTGTGTAAAACAGCTTTTTCCAGGAGTTCTTGTGGTTGATGAGTAACGGAAATAAAACTTAAGTGTTTGATCATGACTTTAAAACTAGAATTTTGAGTGAAATGCGATTCTGAATTTTGTAAAGAGAATGTATGATGATATTGGATCATAGGCCTTTTAGTCACCTTCCTGGGCAACTGCATAAAAAGTGATTTTACCAGAGCTGGAGGAACACTGACTATCCACAGAGAAGACAGGGATATCGTTTTGCAGGGTTTTGGTTGTTAATTAAGGGACATGACAACCATAGGACTATGCTTTTTTCATCATTTTATAACAAACTCTTGTCTGTAGGTAAACCCAGAGTACATCCAGGCGAGCTCCGTGTCCTCACACAGAAGAGGAGCGATTGCTTCGTTTTGAATTGCTGTCCTTTAAAAGTGGTTTATCCTTTGGGAGCACTTCTCAGGTACCCCAATATGAATTGGAGTTTTCCTCCTACGTCAGAGCTCTTGTGCATCTCAAAAGCATCTGCTGACGGATTTGTGCGTGGCCTTGGATGCTTTGAGAGAGGACTCGAGCTGCTAGAGAAGACAGATTAGATTGTCTTTTGTGACTGCTGTTGTGCGGGAGGATGATGTACCATGAGCAGGGGTATCCAGAACGGGCGAGCACACAAGGTTATGTTCAACCAGGAGCTATGTAGGGCTTTCAAAGTGTTTTGCAGCAACTACTGCATGTATCTTTGATGGGCCTGTGCTCTGGTTTGCCCGTCTATTTCTTGAACAGAGAAATACCATCTTATGCCTTCCGGGAACCCTTTCCAAGCTGGTTACCTCTCCTTGCTTTGCGTTTTAGTACGTGCTGCTTTTTAATCTGTGGTGAAGGGGTTTCTTGGAGGTATTCCAGCCTTCTTGCAGCAAATCCAAGTTCATGAATGTAGATATAAATTCCCAGCAATCTGTCTGTCATCCGGTTTTCTATTATGTAGCAGCCAATTAACCTGTAGCACTTCTTTATTTTTCATAAAGAAAATAGGTTTCAAGGAACGTTCCCCTCTCCAAACACGGCTTTCCTGGGTTTAGATAGTCTTCAGAAATCCCACTTCAGCGCTTTTTAGTTGCTGCGTGAGGAAATCTAATGTAGTGATCAATGATATATATTTTCTCCCCATGAAGGAGGAGTGAGTTTTTGAAGTCATTATATATTGCTGAAGCACAGAGGAGGCTTTGGCTAATATATATCCCGGCGTGCCTTGGATTCATAATGGTTCAATCGCTGGCATTGTTGTTTGAGTCTCAAGATACTGGATCTGGCTATGGCAAAGCAACTTTATTGAAATAGCATGTTGGTATTTAAAACAATATTAATACTATATTTGATTCATTAAATATACAAAGGCAAGTTAAAGCATTTCCATGTGTGCACTGTTAGTTCTGGCGGGAGGTTCTTCAGATGGTTTTATGTGGTTTCAGACAACATTTTAGCACATTCTTAAAATACCCACAAAAGCCTTTATGTAAAATCTCATAAAGGTGAACCACATAAAAATTATTTTTTTCCTGTTTCATGTCATTAGGATCAAAGTACAGTAGGTAAGAATAAATTTCCAAAAACCTTGTTTCGGTCCCTCTCTTAATTAATGTTTCATGCTCATAGCAAGCTCATAAAGTGGGTAACGGGGAAACTGTCTGTACGCGCTGTAATATGCTCAGTGGCTGCCAGTTTATTTTGAGTGAATTCGCTTATTCTATATATGAATATTTTTTTAAGCAAACTTGGTCTGGAAATGGACAATAGTTCTGCTCTCTGGCCTTTGATTCATGCTGCCCTTTTGTCAAAGGAAGGGTCGCTTAGATTGGAACTAAGTTTCGCTGCAGGACTGAAATTCTCATTAACTGCATTAACCAAAATCCATTTGTGAACTCCCCAGGGGATATAAAAAGGGTGTTTGTTGGTTTGTTAGGCTTAAATTGCCTGCTGGAAGTCTGGCTTTAGCATGCCTGTGGAGCAAGGAGCTTTTCTTTTTTGGCAGTATATTGTCAGTGGCTTGACAAATGTCATAAGACGGTGCTACGTTTGTTACTTAAATACTCAGTCTAAGCTTGATGATGAGTAGCAGTAGTCATCCATTAAAAGTAAAATGATGTGGTGAATTAATATGAAGTTGTATACCCCTCCTGGGGTCAGCATTGTTTTTGATACAGACTTGGATGCATGCAATTAGAAAGAATTGGAGCTCTTCTGGTAACTCTGCCTTCTTGAAACGACATATTGGACTGATCTGTAAGTGCAGAGAATATGTTGAAAGTTACCTATGTTATTTGCGTTGATTTCCCAATATCTGTTCTCCTGACTTGTAGAAAGGATGGAGTAGCGTTCTTGAATCTACAGTACTTCAAACTAATATGTAAAGTCCAAAATGCACAGTACATCAGATCTGAAGTGCCATTAACAACTGTCAGGCTGGTGTTTAGAAAGGAGGGGAGCATGAAGGTGGGAGGGTTCAACAAGGTTTTCGTGTTGGCAGTGAGTGGTACTTTCCTTTCTTACAGAAGGGGAGAAACATGCAGTCACTTGCAGATCTGTGTGATCGTCTCGCTTGTGACAGTAAGAGGCAGGAGCATAAAACAGCTTAATCTGCATGACTTTCAGCTTAAACTGCTGGGAACTGTCAGTCATAGCAGCTCCTCGTGTCTTTGGATGATGGGCTTTTGCTCTCCTCCTGACAACGAATTCTCAGGTGTTTTGTCTGCTTTCTGTATGTGCTTGCAGAACGGCAGCCAGTGCTCAAAGCAGAGCAGAAATGTCTGACTGCTAAAATGTCACTGATCTTCTGGCTCAGCAGCAGTTGCCTCTCTTCCTTCCCTTAGCTCTTCGCAGGAGATGCTGACTCAGTGCAGTGTGAGTTCATCGCTGAGATCTGAGAGTTGTGCGCCATGAAAGGGTATTGCCTTCTGCGTGATAATCCTCGTGGCTGTTTGGTAACTTGAGAATGGAAACAGTTGTAAAATGCTGTGATTTCGGTTTTCTAGAAGCCAAAACTGCTGCTTGCGTATCGTTCTTCCTACAGTGTTGGATTGTTTACCATTATTTTGAAGTTCATCTTCCATCTGGCACGTAAGGAGCCTAGCATGAGTGTTATAAAGGAGGAGTGGGTTTCTGCAGACGTCATTGCTTTGTTAGCTTTCCAAGAGTGTACTTTTGCTACCAGAAACCCAAGAAGTAGGTAGCCTAGCTTACGTTCTGTTGTGTGCCGTATCTGAAGCTGGAATAATACGTAAACCTGAACAGCATCTCTTCATTTCTACGAACTTTGGTTTCAGTTCAACTCTGTTTTCACACAAACTTCTGAGACAGTGGCAGAAAGCTACTTGCTTGCTCCCTTTTGTCTTAATTAGCGGACTTTGTTTTAAAGAACTTCCAGACTTCCCCAATAGAGAGAGAAAAGGAAAAAAAACCCCCAAACTGTAAAATAAAGCCTTACTCTCAGCCTACTTTGTAGCTTGTGCTTTTACCAGCTGTTATATTTAATTGGAATCAGAGGAATTGTTTGCTCAAGTACTGCAGAAATCTGTAACTAGCTCACTTTCTCACTAGGCGTTTATTCTCCTTTAGAGAAATGTACAGTTTTTTATAATTAAAGTCTCAGTGTTATAAAGCAATTTAAACTGCTGTCTTCCTGGGTATAGAACTGGTGAGAGTGTGCTGTCTCTGAAGAAAAAACCAAAATATTTACTAGGACATAGAGATTCTGCTTGCTTAAGATTCTTATTGATACCTGACTGGCTTGGATTCTGCTTACTCTTAACATGCCTATTGGATTGCATCCTGCAGGTATTTTGAAGGTGGAGTCTCCTCTGTCTACCTCTGGGATCTGGATCATGGTTTTGCTGGGGTGATCCTCATTAAGAAAGCTGGAGATGGATCAAAGAAGATTAAGGGATGCTGGGATTCCATCCACGTGGTGGAGGTTCAGGTACAGCCTCTGGGGCAGCTGATATTCCTAAGTGAAAACAAACCCCAGTTAATTCCAGACAATTAACGAGCACAGGTGTTCCCCTGAACAATGCAATATTGTGTTAGGGGCTGTAAACTTCTTTCCTCTGTTAATTTTTGAAAATTCCCCGAAGCAATTTGGATAGTGATAAGTCAGGGCTGTAATCAAAAAGAATCCCAGAAGAATTGAAAGTATGTTGCTTTCTGTGCATGTGATCTTGAGATTATTTTTCTTAACATAAAGGTCTACAGATAAATATCACTAATTAGGTAATAAAAACATGGTAATAGGAGGTTAAATTGCTCTAACTAGATTTGCTTTGGAAAATTAAAGAAATATGCCCACTTAAAATTGCTTTTAAGAAACAGACTGTGCTATGTGAGTGGAGTTACAGGTATCTGGCCTGTTGCTGGTGGGGTCTTTGGGGCCAGCCACTATTTAGGTTTTGGAGGGATTTTAACCTTTTGTCTCTATCATTTTTGTCATCCTTCCACTTCTAGGAGAAGTCCAGTGGTCGTGCTGCTCATTACAAGCTGACCTCCACAGTGATGCTGTGGCTGCAGACTAATAAAACTGGCTCTGGTACCATGAACCTTGGAGGGAGCCTTACCAGACAGGTACGTCTGTATCTTGGCACGAGTGTACGCTGCAGACCCAAGGCTTGCCTTTCTGTATTTATATACCCAGTAGCCCCAGTCAGGAACAAAAAGTTGATTTTGTGAGGTGTTGTATAAACATCTATTCTCCTGCTGCGTATGCAGCGCAGTGAAACAGTTAATGCTAAGTGTGGAATTGCCAGGAAGCTCCGTGAACTTTGCTTGATGGCAGTATAGCTTTCAGTTCAAGATATAAAACATTCAGTAGGAGTTCAGGCTTGCTTTTAAGCCTTAGTTTTTCTTTTAGTATTCCTGAATTTTTGTACTTTCATATGTGTTACTCGGACATCTGTAAGATTTGCCTGCTTTCTTCGTGGAAGATTACAACAGGATTATAAAAATACAAGATGACCTTTTTTGTTACGTGTCTCTTAAAAGCTAGCTAGGCCACCGTGAGTGGACCTGTATTTCACACTGACGGTAGGATTCTTCATTCTTAGACATCAGTTATCTTTTAGTATCCTTCTTTAGTATTTTCCTCCTGCAGTACACTTTAAAAAAAATCTCTTACCCAAAACAAACTGAAAAAACCCTCTTGTAAACATATGGGCGGGTTTCTCCCAGCATTAATTACTTGGACTTCCTCTTGCGAGAGCTGTTTTTCGCAAGGAGAAGGTGCCAGCCTGATGACTGTCCCGGCAGTGCTCCTGTCTTAGTCTCTGACAGGCAGGATCTGCTGGCCTTGACTTCCCTGGGTGAAGATGCTTCTGCCCCACCACCTGCCAAAGGTTGCTTCATGCTGCTGATGAATTGCAGTTGCTTAAGATCTGGACTGTGGAAATCAGTGAGTCGAGCAGAGTAATAAACTCTGGAGGACAGGAGGCATATTGTATGGTCATGAGTGACTAGAGAGATTGGCAGCAGCTAAAACTCCTTTATGAGACTTCCCAGGGCAGACTGTTGCTTTTGCTACAAAGGACAATGCAGACTCTGTTAAACAGTTCATGTTTTTGCACAGGTTTGAGCCAGGTGAAGGAAAGAAGGATCTGTGATTGCAGAGAGGAACCGAAATTGTGTTAGTATTGCAGGAGCTTGCCCTAGACATAGGTGATTTTTCTTTCCATGTTGTTGATTTACAGAAGAAGCTGACGGAAAAGCAAGAGGGGGAGAAGGCATCTGGAGACAGTTTTGAGCATTTCGTACTCTTTTTAAATGTTTGCGGTAATTACACCCAAGTTATGGTGACCTGGACAAATATTTAATCACAGGCCTTCCTAATACTTTAAATCATAGCTGTGAAGTGGAGGCCAAGCGCTTGACTCTGGCCGTGGCCTTATGGTGCGTGAGAGCTGTGCCAAGGAAAACGGGAGTCTGTTGAGAATGAGTGTCCTCAGTACACCTTGGCCTGAACTGCTAGGCCTTGTTTAGCTTGACTTTCACTCTCTAAGCTTTAGTGGGGAGATTCATGCTTCTGTCATCATTTTAACAGCAGATCATTTAATTCATATGTGATGCATTAAAGCAGAGGCCTGCTTCCAATGTAAGTAACCATAAAAAAGCCACTGGGGTAATGATGCACTGCTTCTGCACAAACAATGGAAACTTGAGTTTCAGAATTTAGCTTTGGGCTGGAGATTTTCTGTTTGCAGATGCCATAGTAGGCTTAATGGGACAGGCTTCATCAGAATCCATGGCAGAAAACGAAAATCTTCATGCTGCCTTGAGGTATGCTATGTGGGGAGGAGCTCTTTGTCCTGAGCCATTTATTTAGCTGTAGTTGGACTAAACTCCTGAGTGCAAGGCTTTAAATTTTTAAACTTTGCTTTAAATCCATTTTGCCACATTACCTAAGGACAGCAGGTTTTATTTTTACTTTTTGGTAGGCTTTTGATACAGTCTGCAGCAAACTTAGGCACTGAAAGTAGATTTTACTTCTGGTATGTTACAGTTTTACCTTGACAATATTAGTAATCTGATGTCCTAACCAGACTTTTGAAATACCTTTGTCCATGGTAAACTGTACATGGTTTTGGTCAACTCAATATTTAAGCTACTTGAGCACCTTTGATCCTTAAATGTGAATAGCAGATGTCCTTGCGTTTCAGTGGAAGCTTTTGAAGTGTTCACAAGCTTTGTAATATCCTGGCTTATAAACTGATGGCAGAGAGAACCTTTCAATGCTTTGAAAGGGAAGTCTGTGGAGAGCCCTTACTTTGAAACCAGTTTCGCCTCGTAGCTGGAAATCGAGTATTTTTCGAGTGATGACTGGCATGATTAACTTGGTGGCCAGGAGCAGGCGCAAAGGAACAGCTAATGCAGTGCCTCTTAATTCACCACCTCTGGCAGTGGTGAAGAGCTGGGCATGTCTTGCGCTGAAATGCTATGGGGACCATTTGCAACTTGCTATGGAAACACTTGCTCAGTAATTCCCCTTCCTAATGTCTGCAGATTACACTCGGTGCAAGTAATCAAGCAGTCCTGTTTGTTCTTCCGTGAATGGGTAGCGTGGAAGGGCTGAACTTGGATCTGGAAGTAAGGGTCCAGAAATAGCTGTTCCTTGCTGTCATTTCCTATTGGTGAAATACTGCTGCCCCGCATCGGACACAAACATGGGTTTTTCTGTTGCCTTTGTCAAGACTATTTGGAAAAACTTGTCTTTACATTTCTTGACTGTCCCCAGACTCTTGTTACTACAAGGCTCACACTTGGGCTATTCCTAAATGTTGCACTGAGTTTCTAAGAACAATTTTTTTTCTTTCTCTCGCTTTCCAAGACACTGTGTATTTGAGTATTTTTACACCTGGCTTGGGGCCATGCGATGGTACGTTCTGGGTAGATGTTACTTAGAGGTCACGTTGCTAGCCTGTCTGCTTTAATGTCATACACTGAGAACTGGCGTATCTCTTCCAGTTTATTGAACTACTACTTTTCAGTGATTTTTCCCAATGCAGTTTTTCATGTGCTACAATAGGAGTTGTCTCTGTCTTCATTTATAGGCGGAAAGCAACTGTACAAGCGTTTTAGAGTTGTAAGTGTACAGAATAAGGAAAGAGGGAGAGACATGGTAGACAGAGACTCGGCCCGTTTTGGGCAGTTGAAACTCTCCTTTTTGTAGCTTTACTTGGTGGCTTTCAAAATGAAAACTTCTGGCATTTTCTCTATCAGTTCAATTATGGAAGTTTCTTTCTAAGAGTTGGAGTGTAGACTAATTCAAATAAAATGGCTTGTGATTGTGTTCTGAATGGAGTTATGGATTTTGGTTTTGTTCAAAATGTAGGATTTCAGATTCTGTCCTGATCCAGCTGAGAAATGTCTGTGTATACACACACAAGTGTACAACACAAAAACCCTATGTATACTGATATATATCTCTTTACATAATTTATGTATATACAGAATTGATTTATGTATGTGCATGTATAAACTTTTATCTTGAGAGGGTTAGAGAAATTCAGAGGCAGCTCTACGCATGTAGGATCCATAGATCATAATTTTGGTCTGAAAACTTAGGGAGAATTAAAGCTTAAGTAACATCTTCACGTTGGACACTTCATTGGATCCTTGCTGAAGCAGTCCTTTTGTGCGGAGGAACAGTGTTTTTTTTGCCTAGCAAAGATTTTTTTTCTTCTAATCTTTAGCAATATATGTTATTGCTGTACATAAATACTGACACCGAGTATGGAGCCATCTCTGTTTTGACTCCAAAGGACATTATAGAAGAACTTTTTGGTGGAACTGGAAGGAGAAAGCTGATTTTTTTAAAAATTATTTTCTTTCTTCCCCTCTTGCTATGGTCCGTTCCCAAAAGGCATGCAATGTCAGATAGAGAGTGTCAATTTTTACGATTTTCTAAAGAAGGGTGCTCTTCCAGACAGCCTGTTCTGGAGACAAGCTTGGATGCAACTCAGGAGAGCTCAGAGTTGAAGCACCACAGGCCAGGGTGGAGGGAGTGACTCCCCGCTCACATCTGACACTGGCAGGGGTCAGTAGATACGAGGGCTGAGGCTGGAATTCGGATGGGGAAAGAGCGATCGGTGTGTTACGTGCTGTCTGCCTTGACGAGGGGCCGCAGATTGAAGTGCTGTACGTCTGAGAGGAAAGGACAGGACATGCTACCTTCAGTTTACAACAAAGGGAGAAATGCTTGCAGGGAAATAAAAAGTGCAAGCAGCTTTTCAGTTACCTTGCGCATTCTCCAATGACTGCAGGTAACTCCCAACCCCCTCCTGATTCAGGCCAGATGCTTGGCAGATGCTTTTCTCTGATAGACGTTAGGGTCCTGTCCTCTTTGTGTACATTGGAATTACTTGGGTTATTTGCCGTGGCACTGTATTGCTTTGGCTGAATTTTGAGGTTTCATTAGGCTGCACTTTTATTTAAGGTAAGAGCAGCTGTATGATCCTGTTTCAATTTATGCAAAGTAGATGTAGCCTTCCCTTTTTCTGGCAGATAGTCAAAACTGCACTTTGTTGGACGGATTTCTGGAGCCCCCCTCCTTAAAAGCAAGACTAACAGGTGCCTTTCTGAGATCTCGTTGCGTACAAAGAACTTGTGTGTGTTTCCTAAGCCAGGGTGAACATTGTGAGGAAGTGTGAGTTTGCTGAGAAAGAAGTTGGCTCAAAACCTATAGTTTATTTACACGTGGAGGTGTGGGAAGGGGAGGATATACAGTTGTAGGGGAAGTCAAGCGTGGGATTTCAGATTAAACCAGCACAGATGTGTGTTGATTTTCATACTTGAAATACTCTCTAAGCAAAGGTGGAACATTTTGCAGAGCTGGATGAAGGCTGATCTGTTGCAAACTGAGCTTTCCCTGCCTTCAGGAAGATGTGCCCTGGGATATATTACTGCTCAGTAAAACACCAGCAGAGACATTCTGCCATTTATCATAATAGGTAAATCCTCCAAGGCCTGTGCTCTGCAATTAGGGGAGTCATATATTTTCATCAAGTTGAGCTTTCATGTAAAGGCCTATCCCACCGACTTCCAGATGTTGTAGCGTTAAGCGGGGCATTGGGGAGTGTTTTTCCACCATAGGGATCTTCAAGCTGTAGCTGTCGTGATCCGTAAGCTGCCCCTCAGCAGTTGTCCAATTTCCTGGAGGCACTGTCTCTTTAATCCTAACCGAGTAGTGTTTTGGGGTGCACAGGATAGCAGAGAAGTACTGAACAGTAATTGTGCAGGAAATTATTTCTGCTTCACAGGAACATGTGGATTTTACAGTGGTTCAGTTATATAATGGCTGGTTTAGAAAAAGAGAGAGTAGAAGAGTTGAGCACATACGGATACTGGCAGATAGAGCTGATGTGGCATCCCCAGATTTGGTCATGGTTTTGAATGTACAGTTTGGTAAAGGACATGGGATATCTTTGGTTATGCTGATTAGAGTAAATACACATGAAGGCCGTGGAAGGGGTGAGGTAAGTTCTCAGCTGATTTCTGCAAAGCTCCAAGCTCCGTAGAGCTCACAACCTTCATTTATCTAGCTACAGTCTGAAATAAGCGTTGGAGAGAGAGGAGCCAAATTTTTGCCTCGCTGATAGCCAAATAATTCCACATATTTTCCACCTGGAGACTTCAGTCTGCCCACTGCCTGTGGCTTGGGAGCCTTTGACTCGCATTGGTGTGTTTGTGTTTCATTAAAGAGATTTTCACGTTGCTCCGTGGCCAGAGCAGCTGTTGATGTTGTCGTCAGTTCTTCAGAGTGAAATGGTGGATGAGTTTCTTTCTTATCTTCCTAGTATTTTTAGATGCTTTCATGGTCAACCAAAGTGTTTATCCAACTTAATTTCTCTCTTCATTTTAACTCTTCCTCCAAATAACGTTTAGAGAAAGCCCAGACAGCTGCTATATTCCATGCAGGAAACATCCGAAGTGACCAGCCAGCCGTCGAGAGCTTAATATACCCAGAAGAGTGAGTTTCCCTCTGAGTCAGACTTGCAGCAGATGGCTGGGGAAATGAGGCAAGGAAGCCAAGCAGCGTGTATCTCGAACGGGAGAGGAGCAACTGTGCCCCGTAGATTGGACTTGGCTCATTCTGGAGCGTTAGGCTTTTGGCTGAGCTCAGCGGCAGATGGGGAGTGACACTGGGAAGATGAGCTGCTTGTTAACATCAACTTACAGGATGGAATTTCCCCTCAAAGCAAATTAACCCCTTTATTTAAGCAGCTAGAGGCTTTCTGCTTAGGTCCGTGCAGTAACAGCCACCGGAAGGAACCTTTAAAAATCCCAACAGCTCTGCTGTTTGTATAACATGGCTGCTTACTGACTCTGAACTCCATTAAAACAGCCTCTTGTAACATCTGGGCTCCTATAGCATATAAAAATGTTTTCCTTCTGGCAGCAGTTTTTATGGAGATGTAATAATATACATTTTGTGGAAAAAAAAAAAAAAAAAATTTCAGATTCTGCTTCTTACCATTGAGCTCGGCCTGTCCAGGTGTGGAGGAGACGCAGTGGGGAGCCTGTGGAAGTAAATGACCCACTGCCAACTCCCCGGCTGCCCCCGATTTGGTCAATTTGCTGATAGTTCCCAAACTCACTGCAAAGTGTATATGTGTGCTTGTGTAGTTCAGATTTATATTCTCCCTCTATTGCAACTGGATCCCTTCTCCAGGCAGCATGTCTCCATTACATGTAAACAATCTGAGTGCAATCTAAAGGAAAAATTAAATGTCCTTGTTCTCTTTCTCCCCCTCTTCTAGGTTATCTTTTGCCTTCAGGGTTCCAACTAAATTACATGCTTCCCCAAGCCTGTTAGAGACTTGGCTTATTAAAAGAAACCTGTAGCTGGCCCAGATTTTTAAACTCTACCCTGAGGGAGGGATATGAACAGATGGATAAGAGAATTCAGTGGGATTAGTAAAACCCTTTGAAGACTGTTCTTCCCACTACATTTTTCTCCCGGTTTTGTTTTCGTGCTGTCTCAGCACATCTTGTATCAGTTGAGGTTCCTGGGACTGCTGTTCATTGTTCAACAGCTTGTCCGCGTCTGGCCAGAACTTTCATCTCAAGGACTGGGGAAGATGGTCTTTTCCCTAGCACGGAGCATGGATGGTCAGCCATGGCCTCTGGACGGACATTGTGGGGGGCAAAGTCCAATGAAATAAAGCAAGTATTGCATTCTGCAGTACCAGCTCCCAATTTTTGATCTTGGTGATGAAAATTCTCACCTAGTTCAGGTACCTGTCTCCTGTTCAGACACTGCACTGAGTGTAGTATCATTACACACTGCAGTTCATCCAACCCTGAATTTCTACTGCAAAAGGCAGTCTTCCGCCTGATAGTTAGGTAAATGTTGGTTCAGCTTTTTGGTCTAAAAAGAAAAAAAAAGAAAAGCAAAAAGAACTACGAACTGCCAAATTTCTCTTTCTGTATTATTGCAGTAGTTTAAATCATCACCAGTCTTGCAGGTAGTTGTGGGTTTTGTATTCTCTGCACCTTCCCTCTCTACTGGAAGGTAAATAATGCTTAAGGTGTCTTTCGCCAGGAGATCCTGAAAATGGAGAATGTGCCCCAGATGGGGTGGAAGTGGTGTTTGAGATGAAGATTAAAAGAAACAGCTGTTTTTGCAGGAATAGCTCGCAGCTGTTAAACTGACAGCACCATCCTTGCGTGCATCTCATCAGCAACAACCTTGTTTTCATATCCGCATGCTGTGCTACTGTGCTTCTGGTCGTGTTAGATGCTCACTACCGTGGAACTCCTGCAGCCCCTTAGTAGGTAGGGAGTGACAACTGTGTAGTGCCTGTCTACACCAGCGATCTACAGCAGGGTTTGATTTTTATTCGTGGTGTTTATTACACTACGTTTCTGTTATCAACATGCGAGCCTTTGTCTAGTTCTGGGAATTTCGCAGTGCGTTACTACTCTGCACATTGAAAGAATAGTTACTGTAGGGTTTTGAGACCCACTTCTTCCATCCCTTCTTTTGGTAAGGAAAGCTGTTGTGCATCTGCTGTCAGATTTCCGTGTTATCAGTGGGCCTGTATCTTTCCTTTCTAGATGGAGAAAGATGAGACTGTGAGCGACTTCTCTCCACACATAGCCAATATCGGATGCTTGGTAGAGGTAAGTGCTGCAGAGCCACCACAGCTGGAGCCTGCTGCAGGTTCTCTTGGCTGTATTTGCTCCCGTGTCTAGGAATTCTGTTGTATGCTTGCTTTTGTCTTTACAGTCGAGTAAGTTATTCATACTGTATCAGGTCTAATCGTGCTAATGTTGTTGCTTGGTGCTTGATGGCTCAGTACTCCTCCTATCATGTCTTCCAACACTTTGTAGATGCAAAGCCGCCACTCTGCACTTTGTCTCCTGCTCATTACAGCAATAACCTTCCTGTAAAATAATGGTTCTTTCCTCAGAACTAGTTAACAATTTCCTACCCCCATGCCATTATATACTTACTTTTGGCAGAATTATTTAAAGTCAGGTTGTGTTGTACGGAACTGTCCCTTTAACTGAAAGTTCAGTGTGTGTGAAGTGCTTATTATATCCACTGGAATTGGTTTTAGTGTTTGATGTGATGGCAGCTGTCAGTCATGTATGCTCAGCACAGTGAGTGAAGGACGTGATTGCTTTGGCCGCTCAGAAGGGCTTTGGTGCAGCACTCGTTTAAAGGCACTGAGAAATGAAGAAAGGCAGTGAAAGCAACCTAATGAAAAAATGCTGCCTATTTACAGGACCATTCTCAAAACTGTTTGCCATGCAGTTGTAATGAACGCGTTGCCAGCTCAAAAATTCAAAGTAGCCCCTAAACAGAAAACTGCTGACCTGCTGGTTATGCGAAGTGACTTGCCACTTACAGTCCGCTCAGTGCCAGGAAATTACAGAGTAGGGTTGGGGTGAAATGCATTTTCCTTTTCTGCAGCTGAACGCAGAAAAAATCGCTAGCTGGGCAGAAACTGCCCTCTCGTGGTGCAGAAAAACATCTCGGAGCCGAGAGGAGTTCGTTTGGAGGAGAGGGCAGGAACAGCGCTAAGCCTTTATTTCCTTGGTACGAGCAGAGAGATAGGGTCAGGCTGCCTTCTGTGAGCATTCGGGTAGTAGGAATACACTGGGTGCAAGTGGTGTACGTCGAGGTGAACGTACGATGTATAGAAGAGTGCAAGTGCACCATTCCTGAGAACAGCTGACGTGACTAAAGATCTGGTTTCTTACTTTTTTTTTTTCTAGGACATGGAAAACAAAATCAGAAGTACACTGAATGAGATTTATTTTGGAAAAACAAAGGACATTGTTAATAGGCTGAGGTAAGGGGCTCTCCAGCTTCCCTGTGTTCCCTTGCAGCGCCTGTGGTACTGTCCCCAGCCCAACGCTGATCTGCTTTTGTTTGCTGGACTCCCCAAAACCCTACACAAAGTCTTTTCATGTCCCTAATTGTTCACCTCACTGTGCTTTGGACAAGTTGTTTGTTGTGTGGAGTTTAGGGGATACTCCTACCTGGTAACCATAGAAATTTGAAGCAATGTTTTAATCCCTTGTTCCCTCACCAGGAAGAAAATAGCCCAATTAGCAACACTTGTAGTTCAGAATTATTTTTAATTAGGAATTTTATTCTTCACAGTCCTGAAAGTTGTACTTAAATTCTGATTTTTCTTTCTACTAGTCTTAAAAACAGTCAGTTGGTCCCTGAATTAAGTAGTGACATTAGTGGTTTGCGGTATTTAGACTTCAAATTCTGTCTTTCTTTCACCACCACTGGTCAAAATATAGTGTACTAGAACAGATTAAGTGAATAAACCCCCCTGTGCCTTTCTGTAGGGAACCTGTACTGTACTTTTCAACCCTTGCTCATTTCTGGTCAGGAATTTTACATAGAAATCCCAAGCTGGTAGCTCTTGTGCTCATAGAGGAAAGCGCAGAACTGTGGTGGCAAATCATTTCATTTTAAACTGCAGATAGACATCCTGGCACAGCGTGATAATGTAGCATAAACAAATGGTGCAGTAAGTATACTGCTGTTCTCTCGTGTACTGAAACGTGGAAGAAGGTAGAATAATGGTGCTAATTAAATATTTGTGCTGCCTTCTTAACAGCATGGGCAGAGGGAGTTGGCAGTATCTAAGAAAGCAGCTGTTCAGGGGTGGGTTTTTTATTTTTTTTTCCCCCAAACCCCAGCTTTAATAACAGGCCTTTATTTTCATTTGTGGTGTGCTGGGGTTTAGCCGGGAAGCATTTATTAACGTTAAAAGGAAATATGTAATACAGTGTTTTTCCTTGTGAACGTTGCCTTAAGCTTTAGTAATTGAATCTATTTCCTGTGTCTCTCCATTGCTCAGTTTGAGTTCATGGTACTTTGTGCATCGATGAGATGATCTGCACAGAACTGGTAACATACAGAGCGTCTGGCTTTGGCTTTTCCTGTAGCCTTTTTCCCTGTTTCTCCTAACCTATGTATTTACATTTATTCTTCCTGAGCGTGCTCCTGGTGGTTTCCAGAATACCAGCTCTGAGTTCTTCTGACTGTTCTTCTCCTTTTTTACTTCCCTCGTTTCTGAACTGCTCTCTGTAGATCTATTGATGCTATCCCCGACAACCAAAAGTATAAGCAGTTGCAGAGGGAGCTTTCTCAAGTGTTGACTCAGCGCCAGATCTACATCCAGCCTGATAACTAAACCAATCCAGGTACCCCTGCCTGTGCGGTGTGACAACCAGCACTAAACCAGGACTCACCCAGCCAAGACCTCTGCATGATAACTGGGACCAGAACTAACCCCTAACTCCCGCAGACTGATAAACGACATCTGATCCGTGTTTCACCCAAGGGTTGTTTCTCAATACGGCCAACCAAATGCTGTGATTTTTATTTTAAATGTTACTCCACCCCTTCCCCCCGTTTGAAGTGTCACGCTCTGAAATGTGGCAGGATTTACCACTTTGCACTCTAGCTTTGGAGCAAGGAAGGAGCACGTGGTCACGTACCCACAGTGGTGTTAGCTTGGACTGATTCAATCCAGAAGCCCCGGGACTCTGTCCCTCGCGCACCATCAGTTTTTCACACCACTGCGGTGAAGAAACTCCCTGTAATCTTAGCATCCTCCCTGCAGAAAGGAATGAAATCTTGGAAGTCTTGCAGTTTTGAAAATAAAAATGACTGGTGACTTCCCATGACTTCTGAGTAAACGTGAGCTCACCCCGCGTGCACGTCCCGTTTGCCTGGTGTATCTGGAATTGCCTTGGAGCTTAAAATCCAGTCCTGCTCGAGCTCTGCAGAAATGTTTCTAGCCTCCACTTGCTTGTGCTCTGCACAGCCTCTACAGGGATTTGTTCATATGCTCTCATTTGCTCCGGAGCTCTGTCTCGGACGCACGGCAGTGACTAACCCTGAGCCAGTTTAACCTTCCACTCCAGTTCATAATGAGTTACAGATGTTGTCTTAAACACATTAAGCTGACGAAGGGGAAAATGCACTGTTTGTTGATAATGGCCGAGAACCACTTCTTTAGGCTGTGACAAACGCAAATATAAAATGTATATATTTTTATTAAAGCAGCGGAAGTCTCCAGAGACAAGAGAATGGAAATACTGTTATAAAAATGTTAGGAAAATAACTGACACAAAGAGTAGCCTTGTTTACAGGAGACAGCATCCAGGCAAAATAAGGTAGCTTTGAGTACTGAAAAGGGTGTGAAATACGGTTCATGTGGGAAGAAATCCGACCAAACTGGATCTTAACCACTTCTCTGTGGTAGCAGCTCCTGAAAAGTCTAGTTTGATTATTCTATCAATGATCATACTTAAGAGGGCTTTTTTAAAAGTGGAAATTTCTTATTGTACCATTGAAAATGGAGTTTCCTCCACAACTATCTTACCGGGGCAGTGAGCCAAGATGACTCCTAAAATATGTAGCTTTTCTTCTACAACCAAACTTCTAGCAAAAAGGAATCGCTGTGATAATCTCGCTGACAGTATCTCTGTTCTTCCTTGGCTGCTTTGATCCGCTAATTACTCTAGGTAAGGTACAAACTGGAAAAGCAAATTCAAGAACAGAAACTCTGGCCGCTTTTCCCACTGGTGAATACGCTGGAGGGAAGTTTTGACGCGGCTGCTCGACCCTGGGTGAACAGTCTGCAGAAAGGTTCAGGAGCTCCCCCAGCCCGGCCCTGCTCACGTTCGCGGGTAGAGGCTGGCTTTTCTGTGCCTTCCCGTCACGGTCACCGGGAGGCCGAGAGCGCTAACACCCTTCGCTGGTGGTACGCTGGGGTTTTTCCGATCTGTAACGTAAAATAAAATTGGGAATCTCCCTCCAGCAACTGGAGGCTGAGTGGAGCTTCTGGGGAAGTGTGTCTTTTGGTGCCATCCTTGCTAGAGTGAATTTTGCTTTGATATACTCACTGAAGTGTTCACTTTGCCTTCTGCTTTCCGTATTAAAACAGGCAAGCTGAGTTCATCTCTCCAGTGCATCACCTCTCACTTGCGTTTCCTTCTTCCCCACAGGTCTGTGCAGACTTTTGCAGACAAATCAAAACAAGAAGCTCTTAAAAACGACCTGGTGGAGGCTTTGAAGAGAAAGCAGCAAAGTTAAAATACTCTTCATGCTAACAAGACATGCCATGCACTCGTTAGATTCCTTTCTTAGAAAACTCATCCCCCCCTTGCCCTTTTCTGTTATGTCACTCATTGAATACTATCTACGCAACGCCGTCTTCTCCCCATGAATAAAGCTGTACAAACTTTTTCAGTCTCTGAGGCCTACTTTGCACCACATTTTACTATTGAGACCTTAGGCTATGTTTCTGTAGAAGTCCATGTATTTTTTTTTTCCTCCCCCTCTTCCACCCTCCCCCATTTATATGCATAAACACAGATCATTGTTTGTCTTTTACTCCCCCCCCTCCCCCCGTCCTGCCTTTTGTTACATTGGTGTAAAAAATGTAAAACAAAAATTTATTAAATACTGTGGTGTGTGAAAGAGAAAGAACTGGAAAAAAAAAAAAAATCTATTCCACGTATGTTTGGGAGCTGGGCCCAGGGGCTGGCTGGTGGGAGGGAGGGAAGAGAGGGTGTTCCTCCGTGTTGTACTATACTGACTAAACCAGATTTGCAAGGAGACGTTGATTAGGAGACCTGCTGAAAGTTCTGCTCTTCTTAGCCTGGTTCCAAGGCGCTTTTCTGTCAATTTTTATGGAATGCAAAAGGGGGTTTTGTTTCGATTTTGTTTTTTTGTAAAGCTTAAATTGAATCTACATTGTTACTTGAGCCTCCATACTAAAAAAAAAAAAAAAACTAAAATAAAAAAAAATCCCAGGAAGCAGTGTGTGCGGTTGGTGTCCTCCTTATTTGTCTTTCCTTCCTTGCTGTGTTACTCGGGGTTTGTTCTGTACGTGCTTTCCTTCGTGGCAACTGGAAGCGGTTGTTCTGGCTGGGGGTAGATGCGTGCTTGAGAACAAGCATCAGTAATCCAAACAGCCCCTGGATGACACGGCCGCAGAAAGCAAGAACACTTTCTTTTTCCCTTCTTTCTCCCACCCAGATTAGCTGAAACTTGTTTGGTTACGGAGGGTTGGATGCACTGCTGCTCTTCATCGGGGAGCGTTCGTAGCGGCGCTGATCGCCAGCCTGCCGTGCCTCCGAGGTGCTGGCACCGGGACGCTGCCGGATGGACGCTTCGGGCGTCCGGCAAGCGTAGGACGGATGTGTTTAGAGGAGAAGGATCAGTGCAGCTTTACTGGGGGGTCCCTGTGTGTTGAACCACACTGGCAGGCGAGGGGAGAGAGGTCCGGCTCGCTTGGCAGGTCAGGGTGGATGGGGCTGGGCATTGCTGCGCACCCAGAGCTCCTTCCCGGCTTGGTCCCGGTGTGACCTGTGAACCTGGTGCAGGCTGTCCCCCTCTGTGTAAACCCTTGGTGGTCAGAGGGACCCCACAGAGCCTCGGGGCTGCTGCCTCCTTTGACGTGCTTTGGTGAGAACGAACTCCCAGCCCTGGTGAAACTGAGAAAGCGAATACCTGCTGGGCTCTTCCTGCACGTGGCAGTTGGAATTAGCCTCCAGGTGAACCTATGCAAGTTGAGACTCTTTATTTGATTAACTAGTTAATTTGATTAACATGCTCTAATTTTGCTTTTCTAATGTGACCTATTTCACATCCAGACATCTGCAGGTGATTACCATCCTGTGCCAGAGTCTTCACCCCGGGCCCCCGATGCGCAATGCAGCTCGCGTGGGACGCAGGCGGGGAAGGGCGCGCACGTGCTGCCTCAGAGCTGGATCCCCGAGGGGAACGCGGTGAGATGTCGTCGTCGTCTCTTGGTTCTGGCTGAGGAAGGGCTTTTTCTGAAGTCGGAGCTAAGTTTGGGTGAACTCTTGAAGCTTGGAAAGGAGCGCGTTAGCCCAGGAGGGGGGAGGCTCGCCATTCCTCTCGCCTCTTTCCAATGCTCACCTGTGAAAGTTTTTGGGGGGTTTCTTTTCCTTCTCCAAAGCCATCTCTGTGCACATTAATCAAAAAAGGAAGAGTCTCACAAATGTAACGTATAGGAGGCTCGGGAACCAGCTCACCTTCGACCCAAGCTCATCCACGCGAGCGGAGAGCAGAGACCTCCCTTTAAACGTCGCCGGGTCCCACGCCACGGCAGCACCTCTGCCCAGGAACGCGACGGTCGACACCGTTCCCAGCGAAAGGAAGGCGAAGGCTGCGTTGACCGGGGTAGTGACTGCAGGGAATCAAGCGAAGGCTGCTCAGGGAGGGCTAGAGCAGTTGTACAGGGATGAGCTGCAGGATAGGTGCGGCTCCGCCTGCCACCGAATTATGTTCCCGCTCCGGGCCAAGTTCCGTCTGGTCCGTGCCTTCTCTGGTTTAACGCTGGCTTCTGCAGAATCCTGAATCGCAGGCTCTCCTGGGGGCAGGGCTGCGTTGCAGCCTCCGAGGGATGGTAACCTCAGCCAGAGCCTCTCGGCAACACCAATTTCCATCCACCACCACCTAGGTGGCTGCTAACACATAACCATATGTATATTGGGGTTTTTACCTCCTTACATTAGAGGCTGGTTTTCTGGCTTTAAGAGCAGCTCTTGGCTAGCTGGTACGTGGCAATTACTGAGTGTCACGAACCTTTGTTTCTGCACGGCTGGGGTGCCAAATCCCAGCCTCTCCCCCTGCCATAGGTCAGCTTAGGGAATCCAGCTCTCGGTAAACCAACCCTGCCTTCCCCAGCACTTCGGGGCTGAGCTAGCAAATGTGAGCCGAGGTTAAAATACATTCCTTTAACGAAACCGAGCCCCAGGGTCTTTAAAATAATAATAGGTATCGAGGTCTAACGAAGCTGTGCTTTCTATCTTGCTAGGAATCTGCTCATGGTTTGTATTAGTACTGCAGATGAATTGTTTTTTCTGCAGTTCCTAGGG